TTGTATATATTATAGTGCCAAGCTACAGTGTGTATATCCCTGAACATGATCGGTATCGTTTTAAAAGCATGTTGCCTTTAGTCTTTTCTCCCTCACTATTCTACCCAGGAAAGAATTCTATCATTTTGTATAGTCCCACAGACTTGTATGACAAGAAGAACTAGTTTCTAATTTTATGCCCATTGAGATAAACCACTAATGCTGGATGAAGGCTAAAAGGTAGGATTATAATACTACCCCACTGAACTGCATTTCATCAGCTATAACTTTCCAAAGCCAGATTTGTAAGTAAGCCCTTTACAGCTAAGGAAACTACAATTATCTTTTCCAGAGCTTCCTATGTTAATACTGGTAACAAATTCAAATGGTTCTATCAACATGAAATATCCCAGAAGACTGAACCACTGCAGTGTGTGGAAACTGCAGATACCGAGGTGCTGTGTACCAAACAAATATTTCATTTTATACCTAATCTTTTATTATTTTTATTAAGTGTTTTGAAAGTAAATAGGGAAAGGCTAAGATGCATGACTAATAGCTAAGCCTGCTGAATACTGAAACTGGTTATCAAAAGCTACCAAGACTTTGCCCTTCCCCTGCATTGAGACAATCAGTAATGAGGGAGTTCTCCAATGGCCTATTCTCTAGCCTCAAGGAGGCCTGGGATACAGAATCCTCCAGGGAAGGTAACAGTTTATCCTTTTCCACAAACACAGAATGCCTCATTTATAAACGTGTAAACTGCATTTTATTAAAAAACAAATCCAACTCAATGCTGAAAGCTCTAAGAGAACAGATGGACACCATATATTCCTTATAAGACCATTTTAAAAATCTTTGTTGAAAAGACACACACAAAGACAAACTGTCAAGTCGCACCTTTTGCTGGAGTAACTTAAAAAATCAATTAATACAGAAAAGCTCTATAGAGAGAAATACCGTTTCCATCAGGTTAGCTGATAGCAAATTGCCCTAATGGAGCTGCCTGCATGTCATTTATTGAACTACGCTTAAAAAAAAGTATACTTTTCAGCTGTAGGGACTGGGTTATGATTCTGGTTTTAAATAAGTGGTGGCTTCCTGTTGTAAGCACAATAGCCATCTGACTGTCTAAACTCAAGTCTTTACCAAAATAAACAAACACGGCTAATTTTTTAGGCCTGGCAACATGCTAAAATATCAGTGCGATTAGCCAGTAAATCCCATTTTAAGAAACCTTTTTATGACTAGGGACTTCTGCCACTTTACAAATGTATTCCTCTAAGCCCACTAATTCAGTTAGCCTTTTCAATCCATTGTATTATTCTTGGGCCAGCTTCATTTTGCATTAAATCCACTGCAGAAAGCTAAATTGAACGCAAAAATCAGACTTGATCCAGGCTTCCTTTTGTTCAAAGATAGAGACCGAAAGTCCTCTGCTGCTGCCACACACTTTCATCACCAATTTATAGGAACCGACAGTGTAAGGGAAAAGCAATGAAAGTCATTGTTTTGGGACTTCAAAGCATCTCTGTATCTGGGGAAGGAAATCCTTTCAGTCAGCAGTGCTGTCCCTATAGTCTCCAGGTGGGTGAAAAGTTATACAGAACTGGAAGTGCCCCAAAGCCATAGAGATATTAATGACACACGGGCCAATTTTATTTGGTTATAATAACTTAAGGGGCCTAATTAAGAAAATGGAATGGAAAACTGACTCATAGGCACTTTAGGTTAAAACTGTATACAGTATAGAGTGGCAAAACATACTCATTACATGAGAAACATGCATCAGATAGACTTCTCTTAAAATTAATTTTCCTCAGTTATGACCCAGCCTCTGCAATCCACAGGCATGTATTTGTTATTGCAAGGTAATCTGGTTTTCTTTTGCCTGGGACAAGGCTGGAAAGGGAAGAAAAGATACTTTGCTCCAATTCTGCTGTAATTGAAGCCAGTGACAGTTTTGCTATTTGCTTCTGCAGGAACAGGACTCTCTGAGTCTTCTTTTCAGATTTAAAAGATAGGTTGAATGGCAAAAATTCCGAGACAGTTCCTATAGATCTTACTATTAAGCCAGCCAATTGCAAGTATCACATGATTAAAAAAAATCCTCACATAAACAGAAAATGTGCTGATGAATGCACCGAAAAAACTCCAGTGCCTTACAAACTGTGCAGCTGTACTGCCCAGCAGATTCCACGTACTTCTTCCGCAGGGTTTGATAAGAAATCATTTTCCTCATCATGAAGTACAAAACAGAAATCAGAACGCAGGTATCAAGACAAAAGCATTAATCAAAACTTACCTTAATGTCTTTCTCTGAGCTATCAGTTACAGCTTTCTGAGCAGCACTGGAGAGTGAATTTGCCACCTGTGGCTGAGCTTCTAGGAGCTTCTTCAGTTTCAAATCCACCAACTTACTGTTTTGTTCTGCTAAATATGCAAATACCACATACAACAGAGTGAGATGCATTTAAATGCAGAGTCACTACAATAGCATACCATTTTAAGAGTAGATCACATTCATATTGCTATCATTTTAAACTAAACAGGGAAAACCAAGAAGCAAATGATTTAAGCACATACTGAACAAGACATGTACAATATGTTACATGCATAGACATTTCCTACCTTTTCCCAAAAATATATATTAAAAAAGCTAGTACTTAGTTAAATGCCACCAAAGAAAGAGTTGTACTATGTTTTAAGGTAGTTAATGAGAAACAATTTACTTTGAAATGGAGTGTTAAAAATTAATTGGATATTTAGTTTCTCATAACAAGTTTACCAAAAAATGTTGATTTAATATGAGATTTCTTAGAACATCACTTAGCCTCTCTGTGCTGTAATGGGAATCATGGCACTACCCAGTTCCCAGGGTGGGGGAGCAAGTTGGTTAGCAAAAGTGAG